CCCAAAACGATTACAATAGTTTTCCATGTTAATCGTTTTCTTTGTCTTTGGGAAAGCTCTGATGATGGCAATATAAGGTGCCAGTAGATCGGTGAACCCAGCATTTACCTGTCTAATGACCTTTACGAAGATTGGAACCCTACATAGATAGCACGTCGATCAACGAACGTCATCGTCCTGTAGTTTGTAAAGTTATATGTTTGTGTACACTTAAATAAATAAATTAATTGTAATTATTTTTAGACGAATTTTAACGACTAGGCTTTTCTACAGATTGTAATTGATGGGAATGAGCGATCGGATTAATCACACCACCAAACTCTAAGCCGCTTTAAACTTTTTACCCAAATCCATTTCCAGAGCGTGGAATGGTAATTACGACCAAAAGATATGATAGCCGACAAAAACAATCTGCCCTTTCAAGTATTCGATGTTTCACAGAAGCCACCCACACAAAAATGCAATTATATCGAACTGACGACCTGCTGTCAATTCTGAGTAGAAAAATAATGAATTTCGTACAGTCTAATTTGCAAAAAATAAATTTGGGTATTTATATCATAATTCAATTGGTTTCGACCAAAACGTAAAATACCTGCCGATATATCAAAGTTTATTACACTTACTTTGTAATATTCTGTGCTTTACGATTTTCCTCCTCATGTCTTCGGGTGAAAAACAGAATGAAAGCGTTTTCCGATGAAAGAAATACTATCCGGGAAAGCCGTTCTTTCTTTCAAAAAAACCCTATTTGTAGTGTCACAGAAGAATTTATTGACCATCCATTCGTGGGAAGACAAGGGGAGGAAACAAGTGACTTTTCCTTTGACTACCCCCGAGACAAAGTGATGCCGTCTCCTTAATAGAGAAAGGAACAACGGGATTAACGCCCATTATTTTTTTCTTGTGTCATGAATTGAATTAGTTGTATTTATATGTGTATTTTATTGTATGCAAAAAAGTTAAAAATCACCTACGCTTCTACCAAGATAAATGATCATAAAGTCAATTATCTTTAGTAAACTCAAGAGAAAAAATTGTTAATTTTTTTTTCCTACTATGAAATTGCTGTGGATTTTCATTTTGCAATTATACTTTTATCTATTGTTCTATAGCTTTGTTTTCCTGGAAGATTTTTATTTCTTTAACAAAGTGCAAGAAGAGTACACCCTGTGGGTATGATATCGAGGTTTTTTCCCCCAAGATTGGAATTCCTCGATCCTTAACACTTTCCTAGCTGCGCAATTGCATAAGATACTAGCTTCTCAATCGTATCAGATCGACATTGGACAACTGTATTATTTTTAAGTTTCAGTTTGAAAAAAATTACCAACATATTTGGCCACATAATTGTTTTTCTAGTCAGAAGTCGCAGGGGTTTTCCAATTTTGCATTTAAACTTTCATATATTGTGTTCTAGTTTTTCTAATGGTTTTACTGGAAGATTTTTATGTCTTTAATAAAGTGCAGTATTTCTTTTCAGAATTATAGCATCGATGTTTTCTTCGCCTAAGGATGGATTTACTATGTCCTTAGCGTTTTTGAGCTATGAATAACATAATGCTTTCGCCTATTTTTGCTCGAGGCGTAATCGAAATTGGTTGTTTTATTATTTTTATTAAGGTGAATTTTCCTGGAGGAGTCTCGTAAATATACATGTTACGACTTTTAATTATGTTGGAGTGGATTTTATTTTTTTCTATGCGGTTGTTTTGCTAGAATTCTTTGTTCTTTGCGAGGTATTTGTGGTGTTTTCTAGTAACCCAAAATTAAAGTTCCTTGTTTTAATACGGCTATAATTTCTGTCTTACAAGAGATTAGATCTGGTGTCGTTACTATACTTTTTTGGCTGTAAGTCTACTGCCTCGTTGCCTGAAACGACGTCATTCCTGAAACCTAACACTGAATTTTAGCAGATTTTTTGGATTAAGTTCTAGACTAGTTTTGAATTGATTTTGTAGGCTTGGAGGATCTTTAGAGGTGCCCGCCTATGTGATTAATATGATCCACCCTTGAGATGTTTGTTATTTATTTTATGTAGACATGTTACTATTATTAGTATATATTTGTAAAATTTAAACAATGCTTATGCAATTCAACGTAAAGAAAATGTTCTTCTAAAACCTACGTCACACCAACTCTCCGTCTCAACCTACAACTGTTCGAATTTTTCCCCTAAAAAACATTTTCTTTATCGTTCCAACGTTTCGATCTTTACTAAGATCATCTTCAGGGGTCAAGGTGTTTATATACGTTGAAAATGGCAAAAAGAGGGAAAATTAGAACGGTTGAAGGTTGGTATGGTTTAAACAATGTTTGTAAATACCAGGCACTGAAGATGATTTCAACAAAGATCGAAACGTTGGCATAATAAAGAAAATGTTTTTCTAAAACCTACGTCACACCAGACCGCATCTCACGATCTCTGAATAATCATTGACTAACGGTCACTAAGCACCACACGCACGCACACACACATACACATACAGACACAGACACAGACACAGACACAGACAAAAACACAGACACAGACACACAGACACAAACACACACACACACACACACACACACACACACACACACACACACACACACACACACACACACACACACACACACACACACACACACACGAAAGATGGTTAGCGTTGACCCAAGGTGATGAGTGCTCTTAGAGCAACCATTTTGCCCATTCCCGTACTAGTTCCCATATTTGATCCATTCGTACCCACAGAGGTATCAGGTTCTTCTTCCTTTTTTAAGAAGAATATGATTTTGGGCTGAAAACAATCTTTTTTTCTACGTTATCATTTTCTTGAGTTGAGCTAGTTTTAGTTATGGTTTGAGATTAGTGTAAGGTTAGAGTTATGACAGTTGTACAAACGCTGTAAAATATAAATATAGGTAAGGTCGGTAGCTCGTTCCATAGAGATTGGTGCTATAGTTTTAGGAGCACCAATGTGAAGGGATGCCTTTCTTCGTTCTTTTTTCGCAACCATAGTACTTTGTCTTTTTGATCATTGGTCTGACTATACAAGGCATGAATTTCGCTCCTAGATTCTTGCACAGAAAATTTGGCGTGCTCTGTCGTCGGTTCTCCTAAGGTGTGTATACCCCGTTAACCTTTAGTCAGCAACTCGTAGGCATGTAAAAACTTTGGAATCCTTTAATGTTTGGTTTCGTAGGGTTAGAACTGAATATATTAGCTATCGTTCCTTGCTCTCTTTTGCTTTTTTTGTCTTTAGGCTCGTGTTACACTTCGACCATAGTCTAGTCATATTTGCTACTGAATATTGATTTGTTGCGTCAATGCATATAGTCTATAGGAGATCATATACTACCGTGTCCTTTGGTATTACTTCTTGGAGAACATTGTGAGTTTTTCGTCGATACTAACATGAGAATACAAACTTATTTGTACATGCGAAGCAGACTGTAGGGTACCAGGAATCTATCCAATATCAAATCCATCTAAGAATTCTCATTAGTCTCAGAACATTTTTCCAAGCTAAATTTTTCGTCTCTAACCTATTTCTAGTAATATCATTCCCTTCATACAAGACTCGGTGTGCTCCTACGTCCTGACTCCTATCTACCCTTTCGCAGAGGACCGTTCACCCCAATTTAACCCTCCAGTTCAAGCCCTCTCTTCTCTCATCTTCTGAATTCTTAGTGTTAACACCCGCAGCAAAGAATGTGTGTGTTTTTTCAAAATACGCGTCCTTGTGAAGTAGTGCCATGATATTGAAAATCATAGCATGATTTGAATATAATTTACAGAATATGTAACGTTTCGATTTGAATGTACCGCCATGCCCCTCCACACACATCTGACAGTGAAAGGAGTAGGGGCTAGGAAAGGGCTATTTTTTTCAATCAAAAAAACAATTCCCTTTCTGTCCTCCGTGGGTTAAGAGCTGTTAATTTGTAATAAAGAAAAATTTGGTGTGCACACAATTCAAGTGAGTAAATTTTATATTTTGACGTCAAAAACTAAAAATAATAATTGTATTTTAATTAAAAAAAGGGTTGTAACAAAAAATATATTTTTATAAAGAAAACTAAAAGATATACCATTTGATTTTAAAAGTTATGTTAAAATATTAATTGTATTTTCTAATTGGTGGTCAAAAATTAATAATAACAATAATAATAATTTCCTTTACTTTTACTTTTCTTTATAAAACAAGAATTAAATTCGATTTTAAAATTAATGTTTGTAGAATCTGAAATAGGTTTTATTATAGAATAAAAGCTTCTTTAAATTAAAAATAATAATTAATAAAAGAAATTGTAATCTTTTTGAAAATAAATTGTAATAAAAGATTTAAATTTAATTAATATTTTGGTCTCGTATTTATTTTGGTTTGAATTGAATATTGGAATTTTGTATATCAAAAAAAGGTACCTGATCATTAAATTAAATTAATGTAGTCAGGTCCGATATAAAACCTCTGGGACTTTGTTTTCGGTTCTACGAATTCAGGGTTGGGCCAAAAACAGAAGAACTACTATAAAAACTATAAAAAACTATAATGTATTGTACAAAGAATATTTTACTGAAAAACGTTTGGGTATATCGCTTTTATTTTAAAGCCCTTTTTTCTCGACTAATCAGAAGCTGATCTGGTAGGTCGACCTGGGCAAGGTTTAGAAGGCCAGATCCTTTCATTGTTCAGCCTAAGTCCTCTGTCTTTTTTTCACCAATTTTTTTTTTATATTCTTCTAGAATCGTCCAGGAGGAATAAGAGAAAATCTTAAGAGAGTACACTTTGTTATTTTAGACTTTAGAGAGTAGTTTCTAACTAATTTGTAATTTTTATTATTAAAACGATGCATTTGAAAATTAACTACAGAGTTTAGCGGTTTACACTCATTTTGGTATGCCAGAGTGATACAATGAAGGTAGGCAGATCAAAATGTTTGCAAACGATTGAACTTTATGTTCTAAAGAAAATTGCCATTTTTTGATTATTTTAAATAATGGATATTTTTTTCAGGGGTACAGGCAGTTGAGACGATGTTGTACACGCTGGACATAGTCAACAATCGTTCCAAACTGTTCACCATAGGAGCCCATATTTTGGACGATTGCGATAAAGACACCTACGGCTTGGAAATGGCCGTCGACTTTATCAAAGGTGAGTCCTGAACAACAAAACAAAATATTTAAAAAAGCACGAATTGACGGTTGATATTTGTGGAGGCCACCGAGAGGAATTATTGATACGGTCAGCAATGGTTCAAGAATAGGCGTGCATAAATCGGTAAATACTTAAGTGGTTCGGATTTATAGCTGTGTTGTTTCTTTACTGCCTTGGCCAAGTCCCAAATGGTATTAACAATACATAAATATCTTTTAAAACAATCAATGTACCGCTTTTCTCAATCCGGTTTTTGGGGTAAATCATAATTTGTTTTTGCTAATGATGAAATTGCTCCATTTTTACCAAGTACAAATAATATGTGGTGTTTAGTGACAGCCAATGGTTATATGGGGATCGTGAGGTGCGGTCTGGTGTGACGTAGGTTTTAGAAAACATTTGCTTTATCATGCCAACGTTTCGATCTTTATTGAAATCATCTTCAGAGCTCAAAGTGTTAGTTTTCCTTGTAGAAGTGTCATTTTTGAGTGGCACACGACACACAAGAATGACACAACTACGCGGAACACAATGACACATCTACAAGGAATACTAACACTTTCAGCTCTGAAGATGATTTCAATAAAGATCGAAACGTTGGCATGATAAAGCAAATATTTTTGTAAAACCTTCGTCTCACCAGACCGCACCTCCCGATCTCCAAATAATCATTAATTATAATCAATTATATATANAGGAAACTTTTCTAAGCCAAGTGTACGCTGCGTCTTCCTATATATATATCCTTCTCTCTAGCTCTCATTCTCTCTTACCCTATCTCTCTCACTTTCTTTTTTTCTTTCTGTCCCTCTCTACATCTCCCACTCTCATTCTCGGATTTTTCTTTATCTCAGGCTCTCTCTCTCTCTCTCTCTCCCCCTCTCTCCCCTCCTCCTCCTCCTTCTTCTTTTTTTCTCTTCATCCAATTTATTCACGAAAAACTTTTACCATTCAATATTTAAAAATTATGTGCCAACTCTTATTCAAGGATTTACGTGAAATCTCCTTGTCATTCAAGATAACTCTTTTTTAGGTGTATTACGAACCTGTTGAATAATTATTTAAAAGTATGTTAATATTGAATTAAAAGAGATTAATTAATATAAATTTTTATCAATAATGAATTCCACCGTCCGTAACACGAAGGATCTTACATAAAAATATCTTAAGCACAAAAGATAAATTATGACCCAAGTGTATAAATTAAATTGCCGAACCTTTTGATATTATAATTAAAACGTTTATAAGTCCCTTCTTTGATATAAGTCGATGGGAAAATATAAACTGATTTTTCGTCCAATCGTAATTCATCTTAAAAATAACAATCAATACCAAATTTTACTTTCGTTACATAGTAAACGTAGACTTGATATAACTTAAATAAAAAAACAAAACAAGAGAACAAGATAATTAATTTTTGAAAAGTTGGAGTTGTAGACCTCTTAAGAAAATAACCATAGAATAAACTTGTGTTTAATAAAGAAAAATGTGTCAGATTGAAACAAAATGTCTAGTGTTAAAGTGAAAAACAAAATGTCAAACATGTTGGAAAAAATGGCGTGTGAACAAATCGTGAAAGAGTAAAAATTAATGAGAATTCATTCATTAATTAATCTTTATGTGAGGTATTGGTTGAAATGAAAAAGCCAGTGTCATAAGCGGGATTCGAACCCACGACTTTCTGCTAAATTCGCCGCTGCTCTACACTTGAGCAATCTTCGATCCACTCGGACACCAACTTCCCATCTCAACCTACTTTCCGAATTTTCTCTCCTTTTTGCCATTTTTCAACTAATACCTTACATAAAGACTAATTAATTGAAAGAATTTATTTGGTCAATCAGACCATGAAATATAATGGATTATTGAGAATGAAAAAAATGCCAAAAACGAAATGTCAAAGGTTAAAAAATGTTGAGTACCAATATAAGCAAAAAATTTGTTTAAAAACGGTGAAAATGTTAAAATAAAAAATATCACAATTAATCAAGGTTTTTAGTTGAGATAGAAAAGTCAGAGTCACGAGCGGGTTTCGAACCCACGATGTTCGGCTTGATACGCCGCTGCTCTACACTAGAGCTATCCTGACTTCGATCCATTCGGACATCAACTTCCCATCTCAACCCACCCTTATGAGTTTTCCCTCCTTTTTGCCATTTTTCAAATGTCGTGTAATCGGATTGGATTCTCGACGACAAATGAAATGGCCACGGAGAGCTTTAGTGAAGTGTACTATATTTTAATTCATTAAATTCACTAATTTCGTGGTCCGCTTGACCAATTAACATATTATAATTAATCACGGTTTCTAGTTGAGATAAAAAAGTCAATGGCACGAGCAGGATTCGAACTCACGATCTTCGGCTTGATACGTCGCTGCTCTACCACTTGAGCTATCGTGACATCGATCCACTCGGACATCAACTTCCCATCTCAATCGCACCTTGTAAATTTTCCCTCCTTTTTGCCATTTTTGAATTCGAATCCCGCTCGTGTCATTGACTTTTTTTATCTCGACGAAATTAGTGAATTTAATAAAAAATATCATTCTCAAAGAGAGCAAAATGTTCGAAATGTTAAAAGTATGAAAATTAAAACAAGAACTCTCCAATTGATTTTTTTTTTAAATGACGCGTTAGAGTGAAAAAATATCCAGTGCGAAAAAATATGTTGAATTGGTTAAAATAAAGGAAACGTATTGAATGTGAAAAAAATGAAATTTTTCAAAACAATGTTCAATGACAAAAACAATGCTTTAAAGTGTTTTATTGATATATACCAATATTCTTCACGGATCAAAATGCTTTCAAAGATAACAAAATAACACATTCTTGATAAATCTTACTTCTTATTTTCGATCTTTATTTCTGCGACTCCGGTAATCTTAAATTTTGCGTTTTGTATTGAATTCTTCCAATAAAGTCCCGAGATAACGGGCATCGTCCACGCCGACCGGTCTGGGGTTTTCAAATTTAAACAAAACACAGCTCGACCATCATAAACACAAACTCACCGTGGCGGGAATAATTATGCTAATTTCCTGCTTGGAAACGGCTTGCTGATTTGATTCGGACAAATAAATACATAACAATCGTATTTATGTAACATTGAAATTCCAGACTTACTTTTATCTAATTTTATTTCTGGTTTTTTAAATTTAACAAATTTTTAAGTATTTTTTATTAATTAATATTCAAAGGTGTTTTTAAAGTTCAATCAAGTTCAGAGGAAGTTCTCTAAGAAAGTCTTGAGAAGAAAGCTTCTTAACTAAGGCAGATCATTCGCGAGTCGTAACCCTAATCCTGGCTTACAGTCTTGACTAATTCAACATCATTGAGCACTGAAGGGCAGCCAGATCGACACTTATCTCGAGTATTCGAGTTTCAGTTTCACCAACTGAAACATCTGAATTAATTCCGTTTTCCAAGAAAGCCAAAAATATCGCACTGCAGAATGGAAAATCTGCTGCATAAGTCTTTCTTAGAGCATATTTTTATATCGTTTCAGACGGAAATGTCAGCAATGATAAAATCGTATTAAGTGAAAAATTAAGCTAAGTTTTCACAATTAAATAAAAATTTACCGGTGTTGTAGAAAAGTTTTGTAGTTGAGATAAAAAAGTCAGTGTCACTAGCGGGATTCGAACCCACGACCTTCGGCTTGATACGCCGTTACTCTACCACTTGAGCCATCGTGACCTCGATCCACTCGGACACTAACTTCCCATCTCAACTCCACCTTTTGAATTTTCCCTCCTTTTTTGCCATTTTTCAAATGTCGTGTAATCTATTCTATTTGAATCTCGGAGATAAATGAAATGGCCACGGAGAGCTTTAGTGAAGGTATACTTCATTGTAACTTATTAAATTCACTTGTTTTCGTGGTCCGCTAAAAAGATAAAAAAGAAAAATTGAAAAATGGCAAAAAGGAGGGAAAATTCAAAAGGTGGGGTTGAGATGGGAAGTTAGTGTCCGAGTGGATCGAAGTCACAATAGTTCAAGTGTAGAGTAGCGGCGTATCAAGGCGAAGGTCGTGGGTTCGAATCCCGCTCGTGACATTGACTTTTTTATCTCAACTAAAAACCTTAATTACCTTAACACTAACTTTTTCATTTCAACCAATATCTTACATAAAGATTAATTAATTGACAGTATTCTCACCAATTTTTACTCTTTCTCCATTGGCATTTCAAACAATTTTACTGATGTTAGGAAGTTTTCTAAAATATAAAGAAAAACTTTGTTGTAAAATAATTCAGTACCGACTTTTGATTTAATTTACCAAAGGAAAATGAGGACAGCTTTTAATTAGTTAAAGTATAATTTTACTTATATTTATTTGAAAAATGCAAAAAGGAGGAAGAATTCAAAAGGTGGGGTTGAGATGGGAAGTTACTATCCGAGTGGATCAAAGTCATGATAGCTCAAGTGGTAGAGCAGCGGCGTATTTAGCCGAAGATCGTGGGTTCGAATCCCGTTCGTGACACTGACTTTTTTATCTCAACCAAAAACCTTAATTAACTGAAAGATATTAATTGGTCAAGCTAACCACGAAAAATAGTGAAGTTATAGAAAAGCTTGATAACGACTTTTTTTTAGTTATTAGTCTAGAGTTTGTAATGTTTCGTGAAATATAAATCTGAAATCAAAATAGTTAACTAAATTTTAAAAAACAATTGAAAAATCTCGTCTTTCAAATTTTGCTTTATTTTGTCACGTTGGTTTATTTTTTTTAAAGAGACAAATATTTAATTTAAGCGTACAAGTACAGTAAAAATGTTTAAAATATTGAGATGTTTTTGAACGTGATCTGGGTAAAATAACAGGAAAGCTCTTTCTCATTATTATGAGGAAACTTTTCTAAGCCAAGTGTACGCTGCGTCTTCCTAGGAGACGTAGAATCTCTTGAATCATTGCCTTTTCTCCTATTGGAACATTTTCCTTCGGAACCATTCTTTTTATGTCTTGTTCCAAGGGACCAGGCTGTTCAAAATTGAT